TACATCTCAACCAGCTACTTTAATAGATTGTAAACTTTTAGCTGTTCTCGGATATTTCTAATCACATTTCTAGTTCTCTGCAAAAGCCGCATGATAAATACAGATTGGATGTTTGGTTAACAGATGCAGCCTTTTTTTTTTTTAGTATGGCTACAAAATTATTAAATTAACCCGACAAATTCTCTTGCTTTCTTATGCTATTAGCTACATTCTACCAATTACTATAACTCTTTATGTACTTGGCACATTCCCAACTAGCTTTTAAAATGCTGTGGCACATAGCAACTCTTACACTCAGGTGAGCACACTGTACCAAACACGGTGCCCACACCTCAAAGATATCGAATGAATAGCTGTCAAATGGAAATTTGACAATTTTTTTTAAGTAAGCATGGTATATGTAGGTAGCCTAGCAAGGATGAGTGCATGGAGGTCTTGCAGTAAGCCTGTAAGCCAAATGAATAAATGACTCATGAACTCTAACTTTTGCTATTTAGTAGCTGTGAGATGTGGTCAAATCACTTCCCATTTGGGGCACTTCATTTTCTCATCAGTAGCATAAGGCATTTTGATTTTGGTTTTAAGAATGTCTTTCTAACTAATTTTGAGACTCTAGGAAGGTGTTTCAGGACCTCCGTGAAGAATGAGGTTGTTTCTTATCCAATGATAGGTATTTAAATGCTTTCACTTAGATGGGACCTAAGATATTCTCTCTATATAAATAGCTCTACTGCTAAAATTGTTTGAAAAATTTCAGTGTAGAGCACAGTGTGGTATTTTGCTTATCTCAAAGCATTTTGTACACCTACCACTTGAAACTCATCTTGCTATTATATTACTGTACAAGAACTTGACAAGAGGTCCTACACTTCCAGAAGCCACATTCAAATGAATTTGATATTAATTTTTTGGTAACATTGGAGGCAATATTGATTAACTTCAAAGGAATATAATAGCTTTTTTTACTACAGAGAGAGATGTATATTAATCTGTCACAAATGCAATGAGTTTTAAAGAATAATAGTTTTTTTAAATTTTAATTAACTTTTTTATTATTATGCCATTACAGTTGTTCTATTCCCCCCTTCATTCCCCTCCATCCTACCCCCCATCCCCACCATTATCCCCCCATTTAGTTTAGTCTCAAGTTCTTTAGATTCTATATTTCCCATACTATTCTCGCCCCCCCATGTATTTTCTATCTACTGTCTATGCTACTTATTTTCTGTACCTTCTCCCCTCTTCTCCTCCTCCCACTCCCCTGTTGCTAACCCTCCTTGAGATCTTCATTTCTGTGTTTCCACTCCTGATCTAGCGGTCCTTTTAGTTTGCTTTTGTTTTAGGTGTGGTTGTTAATAACTGTGAGTTTGCTGTCCTTTCACTGTTCGTGTTTTTTTTAAATTCTTTTTCTTAGATAAGTCCCTTTAACATTTCATATAATAAGGGCTGGGTGATGATGAACTCCTTGAATTTAATCTTATCTGAGAAGCACTTTATCTGTCCTTCCATTCTAAATGAAAGTTTTGCTGGATAGAGCAATCTTGGATGTAGGTCTTTGGATTTCATGACTTGGAATACTTCTTTCCAGAGCCCTCCTGCCTGTAAGGTCTCTTTTGAGAAATCTGCTGACAGTCTGATGGGAACTCCTTTGTAGATGACTGTCCCCTTATCTCTTGCTACTTCTAGAATTCTCTCCTTCATTTTAATCTTGGCTAATGTAATGATGATGTGCCTTGGTGTGTTTCTTTTTGGGTCCAACTTCTTTGGGACTCTCTGAGCTTCCTGGATTTCCTGGAAGTCTATTTCCTTTGCCAGATTGGGGAAATTCTTCTTTATTATTTGTTCAAATAAGTTTTCCACTGGTGGCTGTTCCTTTCCCCCTTCTGGTACCCCTATAATTCGGATGTTGGAGTGTTTAAAGATGTCCTGGAGGTTCCTAAGACTCTCCTCATTTTTTTGAATTCTTGCTTCTTCACTCTTTTCTGTTTGGCCATTATTTGCTTTCTTCTGGTCCACTCCATTAATTTGAGTCCCAGTTTCCTTTTCATCGCCTTTGGTTTCCTGTGCAATTCCATTCATTTTAATTAGTTTTGTCTTCATATGTTTCTCTAATTTGTGGCTATAATCAACCAGTTCTATGAGGATCCTGATCACTGGTGTTTTAAACTGTGCGTCTGAGAGTTTTGCTATTTCTTCATCGCTTAGATTTATAGGCTCTGGGGCTTTGAGATCTTCTTGAGCCATTTTTGGTCTGTTCATGCCTGTTAAGTATGAGGAGGGGAGCCTTGGACTGCCAGGTCGCTGGGTTATGACGCTGTATGTGGAGGCGGGGTCAGAGTAGGGAAATGGTGGCGCCCTCTGCTGCTGCTTGCCGCTGGGGCCTGCTGGGGCCTTCTAATCGCCCATTTCCTTGCTTCTCTATCTGTGCTTGAATACTCGACCACAGTCGACCGGCAGCCCTGCTCCCTCGCTGTTTCCCTGCGGTCGTTGGCTGGGTCGCTCACTAGGTCCAACCCTGCACCTGGATTTCATGCGCCTGCATCTGTCTGACTGAGTTTTCCTGTGCAACCCCGCTCCTCCAGCTGCTGGTTTCGCCCCTCTTACCGGTCAGGCTGAAGAATTTGTTGTTAATCAGATTTCTGAAAAGTTCAATTTTCTGTGTTCTGGCTGTGTTTTCTGTTGCTAATATTTAGTTGTCTCTAAACTTGGTTGTGTGAGAAAGCACGGCATTTCCACCTATGCCTCCATCTTGGCAGAAGTCCCCAAGAATAATAGTTTTTAACATACTGGAATCAAATATATTCATTTGTTTTCCTCACTTCATATTCTTTCCAGTTGAGAGAGCAGAACTCTGAAAACATGTTATTGACTTCATTCATTGAAGGTGATTTGGATTTGTTGCCCTCTCCCCAGACAATTTATACGGCAGATAAAAATGTATGCTTTGTTTGGTCTATTACAATGTTGAGATCACTACTGATTGGTGTTTATTAAAACACTATAAAATCAAAGTGACTAAGTCTGAGCCATTCAGCTATGGCTTAGCAACCACGACAATATAATAGTAAATAATAGTAGTACCAATAATAATAATTAAGAGGCCCATTTAATTTTATTTGTTGACTACTAGAGCCAGTCAATGATTTAAATATACAAACTTATGTATTCCTCATGACCTCCTCTGGGATACGTTTCATTATTATAAGAAAGGAAAATGAACACCTTTCCCAAAGTTAATAGTATGTGAGGAGTCAAGATTCACTGAACTTGCAATCTAATAGGCATGAAACTAAAAGGACACATAGATATCACGCAGGCAGGATAAAATGAGTGCTGTAAGAGAGACTTACACAGGTGTCATTTTCTCTGAGATTGTCCATCTGTGTCTTGACTGGTTCATTACACGCTCCATGTTCACAATACTGCTTTTGTCTAGAATTTCTGGATTGGCAGATCCTTAGAGCCTCTCTAGCACTTCCCTCCATTGCCAGGATCTCTTTCTATAGCATCCCCCAGAGCGGGTCACAGAGCCCTGTTACTGCACACCTTTAGCACTAACTACACGCCCTGCAGGCCTGGAATACCTGCTGCTCAGTTCCTGTAGAGAGCAGTTGAAACAAACTGGGTTTCCCTGTACCTTCCATTCTTGGTTTTGCCTAATATAGCCTATTAAAATTTTATGATTGTCATTTTTCAACAACCTATTTCTTCTCTGAGGCCACTATTTGGGTCTTTTCCATCCCCCCGAGCCTTCTTTGGGGGTTAACATTATAGTGTTTCTATGAAATTAAAACTATGCAATTATGTAAGCTGTTTAGGAGCATGCCTAACACATAAAAAGCACTCTGTATAGATGGTAGTAATCATGGTACTAATAATAACATATGTGTTACTTACTGGATCAGACATTATTTATAGAAATTTTCCTCCTCTTGGTTGGTCAGGCTTTATATATAATTGTTTAGATATAGATACCAGTTTTCCTTAAATATGTACAGCTAAAAAAAACACAATTCTTCAGGTTCATCTGTGTACATTATTAAAATGAATCTCAACTAACTGAATTCTGGTTTAATTATTAACTTAATAAGGACATTGGCAGGGGCCACTAGTACGTACATGAAATCTGGGTTCTGCCTTGCTGAAGCATATACTTAAATACCCTGTTAAATACCTAAACAACTGCTGGACTTTCTGATTGCTCCTTAAAAAACAGTAATAATGAAAGATGAGAAAGAGAGGGATGGAAACATTTACAATAAATAAATAGAAGCCATTTGAAAGATACCACCCTTTATAAGAGTGTTAAGTAAATGCGGTTGAAGTCTGAGTAATGATCATAACAGCTCCTCCATTTCCAGGTGGGATCCTCCTTTTTTCCTAAGTTTACCAACTCTTTGTTTATTAACCTAAAAAATTATAATAAACTATAAAGTTTTCACTACAGACAAGGCCAGACAGTTAATTAAAAGATGCTAAAATAGGCAGCTCCCTCTAGCCTAGAGTTGCTTTTAAGGTTGATTTTGAATGAGTTGTCCAGGCAGGGAGTCTTCTAGGATGAAATGCACCTTTGTCTAGGGTTAGGTCAGGGGCTGGACTGACTTCCAGGGCTCCAGTGAACCTCCAGGAGAAATGCCTGAGGCAGGGCACAGATGGAGGAAGTCTCCAAATCCCCTTGGGAGAGGGAGGAGAAGACTGACCATCAGTATGAACTGATATTCAGTTGCAGCAAAGAGTATGCCAATGGCTGTTCTCCCTGCTTTGCTTCTCTGTTGGTGGGTATCACTGACCTATGCAATTGTGAATTCTCAAGTTCAGGTACAGTATCAACAAGCTGGAACACCAGTTGTGCCAAGTGCCACTTATATGTCTTTCCATCTTTTTGTATGTTGCTTTGGAAGAAGAATGTTCTAGGATATGGCTCCTAGTTATGCAGAATAATGACATTTTCAGGCTGTACAGAATCTTGTGTCATCTAGTCCAATCACCTCATTTTGCAGATCAAGAAACTGAGGCTGAGAGAGAAGGGACTTGCCCAGAGTCACTCAGCTAGTCAGTGGCAGACAACAGTGGAAACCGCGGTAAGTTGTGTGGCCTCTTTTGGCTTCTTTTTCCAATCTATGAAGTGGAAATGAGAGATAGGTCTGCACAATCTCTCTAAAATTCCTTTGTATTCTAATATTTAATTTTGGATTCTTAATTTCCAGTGTGATTTATATTTTGTAATCATCAAGAAGCTTTTCTAAAAATAGTGCACTTATCTCCCTAAATAATCGTGTTCCAGCATTTTGATGAAGACTAAAGTTCTAATGAATGATTTTGCATTGTGTACATATACCTCAGCTTATGGCATAGATTTAAAGATTTTGAAAACACACCTAGTTTTGAATATGGTTGATAATTTACTATATTATATCCTAACAATGCACACAATTTTAATAAAAACTATAGTAAATGCTTCATTATTGTTCATTGCCTTATGTTGTTCTGCTCACTGATGGAAAGTTCAGGTCTCATGAATGAGTAAAGATTCTGGAGAAGGACTGCAGTACAGGACAGACCTGCCCATATTGATTTTAGTTAGTTGAAAACTCCATTGCTTTTAAACAAGGGTTGGATTTTTTTTCCCTCTCATTTCTTCAGCAGGCACATTTTAGACAAACTGGCAGCAAATTCATTACGTAATGGCAGCTGTCACAGCTTTCATCAAGCATGTGCTTGTTTAGGGTCTCTGTATGGGGTAAGCTGGGTTGTAAGGGCAAAGGAGTCCAAGGTAACTTGGACTTGGGGTTTCAAGTAATTGTCTCCATGGAGTTGGAGAGGCATTTAGTAGGAGCAGGGAACTTAATATCTTATTTATTTAAACTCATCAGATGTAAATCTTCATAATCTTGTATAACTCCAACTTATAAGTATTAGTATCCATTTTCCTTATTAGGCATGTGAATTTAATTTTTTTGAAGTCCAGTTTATAATGCAGAGAATTCTGAGGTTTGGGAGTTCATTGGTTACAGGAAGAAGCCTTTTCATTGTGTGCAAGGAGAAGCATCTTTACACCACTGGGAATGAAGATTCTCAGACATTTATTACCTAAATGACACTTGACAAGTTATGTGTGATGATGTTTACAAGGATATCAAAAGGATCAAATGAGATAACGCATATGAAAGAAATGTGTACAGTCTAAAACATAACAGGAATCTTTTTACACTGCCTATTAAGGCAAATAGGTAGGTGTATAGGAAACAGTGAAGGGTAGAGAAGGAGAGGGTGTGAGAAGCAAATATAGTAATTTTCCAATAAAATCACAGCTTAGAGCAAAGAGGCTACTGGGATGCAAATGAAATATTGCTGCTAGAATATTCAATATCCACGCTCTGGATATTGTTAACATGCAAATCTGATTCAGTAGATTTGGGGTGGTCTGCATTTCTAAAAAGCTCCCAGGTGACGTCGATGCTGCTGGTTTCCAACATCTTAGGTATAAATTCTTATGTCCTCTGATGAACCAATATAACCAAGAGTCAACTAAGTATCTTCCCAGGGAAGGAATCAATTTGTTCACATATTTGTTGGGACGCATATATCAAGGAATACCACTCAGCCCAGTTATGTCTGCCCCTCTTCCTCATCACATAATAAACTTTCTGTACTTTCTGGTTTTATTATTAAGAGTTGCAAAATCATATTGTTTCCATTGGTGAAAGCTTCTGGCTGAAAGATGGCAACAAGAGAGGGGTTTAGACACAACAGAATTAGAAATGAACAAGACCTAGGGAACAAACACATTGCAAAGACAACTGTTGAGTTATTTCTTGTTCCTTTTTAGGTTTTAGCAAATAGAGATTTTGCATCTTGCCCTAAGAATTTTAGACATATGATTGGTTGTCTTAACTCCCCTTTCCCCTTGGCCCTTTGCATATTTACATTGATTTAGATAGCTCACTTTCCTAATATAAATATGAACAGGAAGAAACCATGTGAGATGTTTCCTCTTTTTTATCATTTCAATTCAATTCAACACACACACACACACACACACACACACACACACTAAGTGCTAGGTTCCAAAGTAGTGTACTAAGCACTGGGAGATTCGTAGGAATCATTAAAGTAGCTTCCAAGTATTCTCAGTTCACTTTTAGAGGATACAGGCATAATAACCAAATACAAGGCAGTTTGGGCTTTAAAAACCTACTAGGTCTGGAAAAACTTGTTAGAGATCTGATAGAAATAGAAATTAGTTCTGCTGGGAGGGGAGTTAGGAAGATGTCATCCATGCAGGAGAATTTAGAATGTGGTCATTTGTACGTGGAGGCCAGAAGACAGCTGAAGGCAAAATGGGTTATCGTAAATTTACAGAGGAAAGCAAAAGCAAAGAGACACAGATTAGCATAATTTGGCTAACACAGTGTTGAGATTAAAATATCATCTTTTGGATTCAGGCTAAAGGTTATAGTTTGTGTGGGATGGTTGGTGGTAAGGAGGCCTCGTAAGGGTGGCGTTTCAGCTGCAGCTTCTGACAAACCACAGTTTTTCTCATTTGGCCTAGTTCCCTGGAATCTGCAGGAGAAAAAGATCACCTTTTATCTGAAGCCACCTCCCTTTAGCATATGAAACACAACATTTCAGAAGGTACACGAATCAGAGAGGGAAGAGAGAAAAATGATTCCAAATCAACTTAAAAATATATTCCATATTAACGCATTTACTCATTAGGCGCTCCTTCATTACAACTCTGGTACTCGAATGTGATAAAGTTTTTGCTTATTTCTCTAACTTATGGAAGGTTAAATTCCTTTTCAAATACATTTTTACCTTGATGGTTATTTAGGAGTGCTGGTTGGTCATAGGGGAGAAGCCTTTTATATTCCTTCTTCTTTTTTTTTAATTTAATTTATGTTTTAAAGATTTTATTTATGTGTTTTTAGAGAGGGGAAGAGAACGAGAAAGAGGGAAACATCAATGTGTGGTTGCCTCTCTGCCCCCCTACTGGGGACCTGGCCTGCAACCCAAGCATGTGCCCTAGACTGGGAATCAAACCAGGGACCTTTTGACTCACAGGCCAGCACTTAATCCACTGAGCCACACCAGCCAGGGCTATATTTCTTCTTTTTTGATATTAGGCATCTTTAAAAAAATGATTCTGCAACTGTTGTTTGATTGCTAACCTCTCTGACCGGTGCCATTGCCTGGACAGGATAGAGCTGATTACTTGCAGACACTGAAGTAAATGCAGTCCAATGTTCAGCTTGTTACAGAACCCCGCTATGCCATTCTGGAACAGCTGAAGGGTCTCACTGCCCACCGCCAAGAAGTGTGACTTCCGATGCCAGAGTCTAGTGACAAGGAAAAAGACTGTTTATTTTAAAGTTATGCAGATTTAGAATAATGGTGGAATTCTGCCATTAAGTCCCACTCCCTTTAAAATACCCACAGACACACAGTCCCAGCTCCCTTTGCCAAACCAGTCCAATGGTATCATGCCAGTGATGCCAGTGCCAATCAGAGGTACCATCTTTCAGAAAACCAGAAGTCTGCAGCCCAACGTTGCTGGCCACAGTTCAGCATTCCAGGCATCTCCCATTAATCCATGCTTGGCTGGGCATGTCCCCACAATCCCATCAGCCAATCTGCCATGTTCTCCCAGGCGGGCTTCCCAATGGGTCTCCTCTTTCTTCCTGTAGCTCTTAATCCAAAACCGAGTGGCATCTCCTTACTCCAAACCACATGGCACCTCCTTACACACCAGACCTCATGACTGGCCAGCAAGGACCCTTCTACCCCTTTCAAACCACATGGCTGCCCCATCATGGTTAGCCACCCTAATTTTAAATGCTGACTAGGGGCTTCCTATGTGACCTCATACTCGACACTATACAGACTGAAGGTCACATACGCCTTTCCCCGGGTGGCAGCAAAGCTTCCCTTCAGGAAGGACACAGCTATCAACTTGCCGTTGTCATGAAAAGTATCTTAAGCCATATCCTCTACTTCCCTTCCCCTAACCATGGGCTGTGGGGGAGCATGCTCTATATGGGGTCTTTTTGCTTTGTACCCCATTATAAAATGTATACAGAAATGGCCCTGGCTGCTGTATCTCTGTGGATTGAGGGAGGGCCTGAGAACCAAAGGGTTGCTGATTTGATTCCCAAGGAGGGCACATGCCTGGGTTGCAGGCCAGGTCCCCAGTAGGGGGCATGCAAGACACAACCACACATTGATGTTTCTCTCCTTTTTCCTCCTTCCCTTCCCCTCTCTCTAAAAAAAAAAAAAAGTACAATATATTTTTAAAAGTATACAGAAATGAGGACAACCAAAGATCATTAGCCATTATCAAAGGGTATTATCCAAGGACAAGTTTGGAGTCACAGCCAGGAGGTGTAGTAATTTCAAAATTCAAAGTTGATCAGGAACATATCAGGAAACAGTGGGTAGAACAGTCCCCACTGGAATTCATTATGGGGTGTTTGTTCTTACCAGCTATTGACTCTGTCAGCTGAGACTGTCTTACAGGCTCAAGAAAGTACTTGAGAATACCAATTCATCTCATTCATTGGCCACCCTTGGAAGGGAACTCTTCAGAGCACAGATGGACAAGGTGGAACATGTGCTGCTATATAAACTTAGAATCCTTTTGCATGCTGCTCAGTTTTTTTAAACTCCCTTCAGCTGTGGCTGTTCACAGGTCACTTTATGTACTTTGTCGTTTGTTCTGTCAGAGTTTATTCTTCTTTAACTCCCCATCTTTCCTTCTTATGCTCCAATGTTGGCAATATTAGATGCTGTTATTTTGACCCAGGTGGCATGCTGTCAAATCCAAATTCCAGGTAATAACCAAACCTTGTAGATGCTTCATACTGAGAGGTGTTATGGTGCTCATCTAGCATTCATCCCCTTTGTTTTTCAGTTTGAACAGATAAACAGGTAAACCAGGCACTACAAGGAGGTATGGGGGTACATCCAGTAGAGAGATCTGGGATTAAGAAAAAGGGGATGAGGACATGGAAGTAACATTTACTGGGTGCCAGCCTCTAGCCAACAGTTTGCTGGGTTATTTAGATACTTTGTGCTACTGAAT